ATATTATCAATAATTAAATTTTTTAAATAAATACTATCTTTTGCTAACTCCGATTTTGGGTTTTACTTACTTTTTATGCCTTCGCTTTTTTATAGAGTTTTGTCTTGTACAAGTTTAGTTCTCATTCTTTTATACAAAATTAAAACTCATACAATTTTAAAATTTACACCTATTGTATATGATAAAGTATAAACTTTAAAAAGTGAACAACTCTCACTCACTCACTCACTCACTCACTACTCAGTCACTCACTCACTCACTCACTCACTCACTCACTCACTCACTCACTCACTCACTCACTCACTCACTGCCGGTTCACTTTTGTAGCATTCTTCTAAACCGCCCTCCACCACCTATCCAATTATGGGTGTGATTCATAAAACCACCGCTAATAATATCCTTTTCAAAGCATTAAATGTCCACATTTTAGTTATGAACTTGTCTTTTATACATTTGTGGAGCTTTCTTTTAATTTTAGTTTTAAATACGGTTATTTATTTAACGATCTAAATGATAAAAATATTTTTTTAAATATTTGAATTCAAATAAATATATTTATTCAATAAATGTATTATTATAAGATTAAAATTCAGAACAAACTCATTTATTAGAAAATCAAATATCATTTAAAAACATATTAGATACATTTTTAATTATAATAGATTTTATTACACTCACGATCTAAGTGAAAAAAAATACTTCATATTAAAAAAATATAATTTTTAAAATTTATTCTATAACAAAGATTTAAATATAACCATACCATACATATGTTAGATCATTAGACGAATGAATTTTTATTATTTTATTTAAAACTTATAAAGAATATAAAAAGATGCAAAAACAAATATATGATTTGGATTATTATTATATATATATATATAATTTATTTTAATAATTTATTAATTAATTGATATTTAGCTAATCGACAAACTTAATAATTATATAAATCATATATATAAGCTGACAATACCAAATAATAACACAAAGTGTTCGAACTACATATTAGTATCGTACTAACATAAGCTGATTTTAACATTATAAAAAATCTATAAAATAACAATCGAGATTAAATTGATATCAAACTAAATCATATCTCCATTATAATTTCCAACTTCTCAAAATACTCATCCAAATCCATGAATATTTATTTTCATTCTTAACCCTTCGTCTTTTGCTAATTACACAAATTAGCCACAAATTATGAATTATTTTTAAAATTCTCCTCAACCTTTCCATTTAATTCATAATCGTCCTTCACCATTATGATCATTGCTCATTAATTACTAGAATTCTAGCACTTTAATAAAATACCTAAATCAATAATTCAACATTCAAAACATTACAATTTCAACCCAAACTTTCCTAAACTTTCGATTTTCAACCACCTAACTTTATAAATTTGTAATTTGCTCCCAACTCAATGATTAAACTTAAAAATCAGCATTCCAATAATATTTACAGCATTGAAATTCCCTGTTCAAAACAGTACCAACAATTTTGCAAAATCATAAATAAGTCCCCAAGGTTTTGGGACCTTTCTAATTCCACCATCACAATTTAACCAAATTGTGATTTGAGTCCAACTAACTTTCCAACTTAAAATTTCCAGTATATACTTATTAAAAATCAACATTACGTACCTCAAATTGCACATTAATACATTTCAGTCTCACAATTCTCATAACTTGCAAAATAGTTGTTTTTCTAATTCAAGCTTCCAAATTGATTCAAATCAACCTCCAAATCACATGGAACACTTCTAATATTCATTCTAGACCATAGGAAATTGTTCAATAATTTTCTCCCAACATTTTCCCTATGGTTGAATACTTCATATTGTTTAGGGTAAACTTTTTGTTCAATTTCAAACATGAATTCAACCTCCTATGACAAATTCATGCATTTTCAATCATCACAACATCAAATTAAATCATAATCCAATCATCCCCATAAATCCTAGGTATGACCGAACCTCATACAAGCATAAATAAATAATTTCTATCATCACAAATGCCTTAGAATTAATCTCCAACCTTAAAAACATAAAAATCTTTAATCAATTCTTCAAAATCATCAAACCTTACATAAACCCTAATCACTAAATCTCAATACAAAAGCATCTTTACCATGAGATATTGGTACCAATTGACAGAGAATTTCTTGTAGAATAATTCTCTATTTCACAACTTAGTCCAAAAATCATTCAAATAGCTTTAAAAATCAAAACAAAGTTTTATCACATTGAACAATGAAGGTTTCAGCTTTGTGGAAGAGAGAAGCTGAAAATTGTAAAAATTTATTGATTATTCTAATGTATTTTAATCATGCACTTGGCTTAAAACTAATATAATTGAATTTTTAATTCAATTATTAAGAAATTTCATTTTTGCCATTAATGAAAATTAAAAATTACCAATTTCCATTTCCATATTATCCATTAAAATATTCTTTGGTCAAAGATGAATAAACTTGGCTTTGATTTTTCACTTTGGCCATACAATTTTCAAAAATTGAATTTTAGTTACTAAAATTCCACTGTAATACCCAAATTGAAAATTTGCATTGTTCTGTACTGAATTTCTCTGATCTAAAATATGGAAATAATATTTCCCACCATTATCTAACATCTTTCAAATTTTCGTAAAATTCTGGTTTGATCCGATTTCGATACCAAACTTTATCGTTTTATAACTTTTAACACAAATCTCGTACCGAAAATCTAATTACCACGAAAATTCTTGTTTTTAGGCCAAACTGTTCATTTACATGCTAAAATATATAGCCTTTTAAAATTATATTTTTGGTCCCCTAAACTTTTTGAAAGTTTATACTTTAGCCACTAAACTTTCAAAACTTACATTTTAGTCACTAGACAAAATTTAGGGTATTACAACTCCTCCCCCTTAAAGAAAATTTGTCCTCGAATTTTCTATACGTATCTACATACCTGACGTAAACAGATAAGGAAATTCTTTTTTCATATCTTCTTCTCGTTCCCAAGTCGCTTCCTTAACTTTATGGTTCAGCCAAAGAACTTTTACTAGTGGTCGTTTTATTTCTCAGTTATTTGACTCCATGCGCTAGAGTCTTTACTGGCTCCTCTTCATATGATAGATCCGGCAGAATCTCAATTTCCTCTGGTGTAATCACATGTGAAGGATCTGATCGATACTTCCGAAGCATCGATACATGAAACACATTATGAATCTTATCCATCTCCAGAGGTAAGGCTAACTAATAAGATACTCGTCCAACTCTCTTTATAACCTCGTACGACCTGATGAATCTCGGACTCAATTTCCCTTTATGCCCAAATCTCATAACCTTTTTCCAAGGTGAAACTTTTAAGAATATTTTATAATCTTTTTAAATTCAATCTCTTTCTTTTTAAATCAGAATAAGATTTCTATCAGTCAGCATCTATCTTGAGATTGTCTTGAATTATTTTCATTTTGTCTTCCACTTCCTTGATCAGATCTAGACCAATTATATTTCGATCTTTTAGCTCGAACCAATTTAGAGATCTCCGACACTTTCTTCCGTATAAGGCTTCAAAATGAGCCATTTTGATACTTGACTGTTAATTGTTATTATAAGCAAACTATGCTAATGGCAAATACTTTTCCCATGATCCTTTGAAATCAATAACACACGCTGTTAACATGTCTTTAAGTATGTGAATGATTCGCTCAGATTAACCATCCGTCTGAGGATGACAAGTTGTGCTGAAGTTCAGTCGAGTTCCCAATGCTTCATGCAAAAATTTTCAAAATCTCGAAGTAAATATAAGATTTCTGTCAGAAACTATCGAGACAGGTACACCGTGAAGTCGTACTATCTCTATGATATATATAATTCAATATACTTATCTATCGAGTAATCCTCTCAGATTGAAATAAACTTCGATGTCTTACTCAATCTATCAATAATCACCCAGATCAAGTCTTTTAGGGGTGTGTCAATGATAAACCTATCACAAAATCTAGTAACCCTTTCTCAGTTCCACTGAGGAATGGAATAGGTTGTAATAAACCTGATGGCACCTGATGCTCTGCTTTTACCTGCTGACAAGTTAAACATTTAGCTACAAACTCAGTTATAGCTCTTTTCATTTCTGCCCACCAATTGTTAAGCTTCGGCAGCGTGCTTGGGCAACGACTCTCCACTGGATTCCTCGGCAAGATAACTCCTCGGCTGATGCCATTGCTAAGCTCTCAAGCCCTCTCACTTATGATCTAAGATTCTTTGAAGACCCCCCTTCCCCCGTCCTGCCATCTCATGTTTACTGGAAAATGATAAGCTCAATCTGAGCTTTTTGTGAAAGACATGTTTTCTTTTTTCCACATCAATTTAAAAAAATATATATATAACATATAACGCCTACTAATTGAAATATAATAATTGAACGACGTTAATGTTACTGAAAGTAACTAATAATAATTCAATATATTTCTAAATATTATTAAAAATTGTAAAATAAATATTATTATAAATATTATGCTTCAAAACAAACTATTTTACGGTATAATTGAGATGTATTAGTATGTGTATATAATATTGTTTTATTTAGAAACTCAAAATAAATTATAAATATATATTTTAAAAAAATCATTAAATCTGAAAGAAAATATCAAACATGTGAAAAATATTAGTATAAACTAAGATAACAATATTAAACTTCCTAATTGATTACAAGCCAATAAAGGGTTAATTAATTACAAGTTTTAATTGGTAAGTTTATTATTATAACATTAAAAATAATATAAGTTTGAGTGATATTATTTTTTTGGATTTGAAAATTTGGGTAATTCTTAAACATTGTAAAAAAATGCTTACAATCTATTCCAAAAAATAATATTAAAAATATATAATAAAAATATTTTTAGCTTAAATCAAAATAATAAAAGTAAAAAATAGAACACGTTAAGTAATTTTCCTGGCTATTTATATTCAAATTATCTTTCTGCTTTTACAAATATATATATATATATATATATATATATATATATTGTTCAATAAGAAAAAAAATTAAAAATCTTTCTACCTAAACTTTGAATATTAGGAAAAAAATCCAACTAAGTCCCTCCGGTACGGCAAGTATGACCGCCGTTTATCTCCTTCCTTTAACGCCTTATTTCTCAGGTAAAAAACTTCGTGCGCCGACGCTTTCTTGACTCTCTTCATCTTCGTCGCCGTTACTTCGCCAATGCATTGCTTCTTCGCCGCCGTCGCGGCTGTTTTCTCATTTGCTTTTTCTTCTTGTTTTTTCTCCATCGTACTCTTATTATGATCAAAACTCAAAAACAAAGACGATGAAACCGAGAATTTTCTGTCGCTGTTGCTTCTCTTTAGCAAATCTTTTATTAAACGCCACCGTCTCGAAGACGATGATCCAGTGGATTTGCTCTTCGTACACCTGTTCGGCGATGACATCGGCGATTGTTTAGGTTTCCAAACACAACACGTTTCAGCTGGAAGTCCTTCCAGTTCGTCCGCCTCCGACGACGAAGATGACGACGGAAGATCTCCATCACCGATGAACAGATTCCTCAAAGGAATCCGAACAGCCTCTTTCAGCTCATCATCTTTAACTCCTCTCCGTTCGACAGAGATCGCGTTGAAGATCAGAAACGACGACGGTTTGGGACTCTCCTTGAGGCTAATAGAGAACTCGAACTCTTCACCATCCAAAGCGCCGGCGCTTTCTCGGCTAACCGTAGCGGCGATATCAACGAGTTTGTTACCGGAGGAATAGCTGTTAAAGCTAGGACAAAACGACAAATCGGAGCTATCGTTCTGCATTTGAATACACCGAAAAATAAAGGTAACAAAAATCAGAATTCAGATTTGAAGTGTTTTGAGAAGCCTGTGAATGTATTTATAATCTCCAATAAGAAGCAAAGGAAACTTTATTTATATTATTAAGGTAGAATAACATTTTTGACCCTTAACTTTATCAGTTTGACCATTTTAGCACTTAAATTTTATTACATTTTTTACCTTCAAGCTTTTTTTTATCAAATTGATCCCAGACATAACACATCAAACACTAAACCTTTTAAAATTCACACCTTTACACTCAGTACATTATCTTCTTTTCATATGATTGGATATTAATATCATTTAGAATATTACGAAATGAAAATTGTAACTATTTATCAATCATTGTAAATAATTAGATCAAGGAGGGAAATAAATAACCTTTTAAGTATTAATGTCAACCAAAGTCCAGCTTCTCAAATCTTAAGAAAAATATATATTATTTAAAATATGATTAGTAGTCATTAAACATTCTAGAAGGAAAAAAAATATTTAAATTGCATAAACATGGTTTTCTAGAAGGAAAATCATCCTCCAAGGGAAACAGCACACGCATGACGTTATATTATTTATCATTCATGATCTTAACTTTTTTAAATATATTTCTACCGATTTTTTATCAAGACGATATCTAATTTACAGTTTAATAACAAATATTCGAAATGACATCGTGAGGTAAAACAAATATACCAACCAAAAGTATTGAAAAAATGCACAAAATGACACCAATGTCAAATAGTTCAATTCTTTATTATAAGCTATCAATATCAATATTATTATACTTTTTTAAAGATTTGAAAATATTAATTTCATATTCACAAATCTTAAGAAAAGATTTATATTCATAATTGAACATTATGGGTTCAAATGATATCTATTTTTATATATTTTAGAACATATTTATAAAGTTATCTTGCAAATTGAATTTAAGTGTATTTATATAATGTGATTGATTCGATAATAATTTTTAATTTGATGGACTTATTGAATTGAGTATCAATCGAGGTTTTAAATTATTATTATTTTTAATTCCTAGGGGTGATTGAGTATCAAATATTATAATGTGATTAATTTTATAATAAGTATTATTTTAAATTTTAAATTTATAAAACCGTATAATTACAATTTATAATGCATGACATGCAAAATTATGATGTAATTATATTTTATCGATTAAATATTGTAATTATAAAAAAATAAACCAATCTAGATTCATCTCTACTCAAAAAAGCATATAGAATGTCATAGACATGAATAATGGAACGAATGTAGGACAAAAGAACAACAAAATTATGACATTAATAGCATTAAACAAAGGTCAGTAAACAATCTCAACAAATAAATTCATCCTATTATTACAATAAGTGATGAAAACTCACAAGTAAATGGATGCTCTTTAAATTATTACAAAAGTGAATAAACCCTAAGCCTTTAATTCCCTTTATTTCATCCTATTATACTACTGTAGACCTTAAATCCTATATTGATATTAAAAGTTCAATAGGCCTTCTTAGATAACCAATGCGGGTTTAAATGACATCTTTTTTGTTATTTAATAGGATTGATCGTGTTCTTTGAAAATTTTGAATTATCATATCATTTAGATATTTTTTTTATATTTTTGATTTCACATTCTCTAAATTTCTAATATTTTTTAAAGTTTACAGCTCACCGTTGAATATAGTTATCAAAAGATATAGTGATAAAATCTATTTATGTAGATTCTACATAGAAGCTTTAATATTTTTTGAAACACTATTTTTTATTAAACAATTTTAGTTTATTAAATAAAAAGTATTTATTGATGTGATATAATTAAAAGTTAATTAATTAACATTTTTTTAAAAATAGACTATTTTATTTAAAATTAAAAATCAAAATAGTTATTCAAAAATAAAATTTTAATATTATACCTTATTTAAATTACAAATTAAATTGAACGAGGGGCGCTACAAGGGACTTGGTGGGCGTGGTTTGCTTCAAATAGTAAAATTATTAGTTTAATCCTTTTAAATTTTAAATAGAAATAATGATAAATTATATTTTTAGTGTAGCAAAATGATGAATTTTAAATTTAATCATTTTTAAATTTATAAGATCATGAATTAAAGTAATGATAGAATTGTCTATTAACCCTTCAAAATTTTATAATTTTCTTTTGCCCCCCAAGAAAACATATGACTTCTCCCGTACTCACATTTTACATTTTCTAAGGTATTTTAGAAGATAATTTATAAAGTTTAAGCCGACTTAAAACTTGTACTTATTTAAGAAATTACTTTCCTTATATTTAATAATGATAATTAAAGAAAAAATAGCATCGACCTTGTGGGAGAAGCAAAATAAACGACAATATCCCCGAAAATCATATGCAAATTTTTATTTTTTTAAAAAATAAAAATATTTATTAAAGAAAAAAGGATAAACCATTATAGTTGCTAACCACCTAACAATCACTAGAAATAGACCAAAATAAGACGTGCTTTGACTTAAAAAACATGCACAATAGCAACCCTAAGTTACGGGATAAGCGCCGATTTAAGATCGGAATTAGAATTATTTTATCATGTTCCGTGTTTATATTATTTGATCTTATATGTGACTAAATCCATAACTCTAACATGTTTGTATTCACTCTCTTGTAGGAGAAATTCTAAATCTACCGCCGTCGATGTAGTCTCTGTCGTTCTCCTATGTATTTACTATTGATAGGTTGTCGGAATCGCGTGCGATCTTGATTTTCACCCTAGGGTTCACAGGTACAAAATATTGATTGTCCATCGATCAATTGCAATTTCATATGGGTATTTATCGCCGAGGGGAGGTGAGGTCGAGTGGAGTTTCATTGACGACAAAGGCTGACAACCGTCATGGGTTTAGGGTTGAAACGAATGTTTTCAAAGTTTTAGAGCTATTTTTTTTGTTTTTAATATATAATTTTAAATAAAATTTTAAAATTATTATAATGTGACACATGTCACTTAACAGAGGAAACTAATGATGTTTACGGCCCGAACACTTAAGGTGATAATGTCTATAACATTAAATACCGAAATTATTCAAAAAATAATTTAGATACTTATTTGTAAAAAGCGTTAAAAAGCGTGATAATTTGGACAATTATATTAGAAATAAGCCTTGTTTTTATAAGATCATTTTGTGGGCAAGAGAATTCTAGTACAATGCCGAATGTCAGATAGAGCAGCAGGCGAAGCATTTTCGTTAGCAACCAAGAATGTCATTCTAAATTCAAAGGGCAATATAAAATAGGGGCGTTCCGAGAATCGAACTCGGGACCTCTCGCACCCAAAGCGAGAATCATACCACTAGACCAAACGCCCAGCTTTATAAAATCTGGTGTACAATTATCAAAGCATCTAGGTATATTTATATATGTACGTATATAGTGAATGTTGATTGTTGAATATGTTGATGGGAGTAGAGAGTTAAAGTATCTAGGCAGCTTTTGTACAATAATGAAAAGTCAGTTTAGTCTCTGTACTATAAAATTGAGTAATTTAACCAATTTACAAATGATATTAGTTAGTAAAGTTGATAACAGTGTTAATGAAAAGCCATCTGGATTTATGAATTTTGAAGAAGTATATGGATTGAAATTTGACATATGCGTTCTTTAATAGAACAAAATCTTTTACTTCTGTAATTCTATCTATAGGTCTGCATTGTCAGATTTCAGAAGTCAGCAAATGGTTTTCTGTTAATAATGTTATTAATTTTACTTGTTTTCCCTGATATTAAACGTTCAAACGTTAGATTACTCTGTTCTGGTACGCTGATTAAATTTTACTTTCCAATCGGTTCTACTGATCTTGTGTTTCTTCTGTCTTTTGAGTACATCAGCCTTTGCCCCAAAACTCTTTATTAGCCAACCTTCGTCTCAAAATCCTATACAGTGAAAGGGCCGACAAACGTAGATCTGGCAATTATTGTGTTAGTATGTTATTGTATTTTACCCTCTCATAATCGTGATTAAGGTGGTATACACACAGAGACAAGTTTATAGATTAATATAATATTATATAGAATTTGAGAAACTGGTGAATTAGTGTTGTGCTCGATTTATAAGCACAGGGACCATTTTGTAATAGTTCAATAAGTTTAATGGCGTGTTGATATTCCTTTTACAACTATGGCTCTTTCATTTGCAGGGGATTTTGTTTTTTGACAGAATGACTGACGAAGTTCTTGACAGCATTCGTGGACAGCTAGAGGTTAGTACAACCTTCTGAATGATCAAAATCTCTGTTACACGGACTCGATTTCAAGTGTTTGATACGGGTATATGCCCACTTGATGATCTTCATTTCTTTCCAAGTTTTTCGACGTATCCGGAGGGTCGTCTGAGAGTAATATCCCTATACTATTATGTCTTGGTATATGTCAGATATGAGTATCGGCACTTCAAGAAAAATGTGGAGTCGGAATGAAATAGATCACAATATTATCTAACAAATAAGATGACCATAAAGATTAACCTTCTTTTAGACTTGTTGGATGATACTGATCTAAATTGCAGGCATTAGAAAAGAAATATAAAGATACGACTGGACTCCGGAGCCCTGAAAAGGTAGAAACTCGGAAAAGGAAGAAAGCCGGACATAACATAACCAATAATCTGCTTCCGGTCATTTAAGTTTTCATTAAACAGAACATAACCAAACCGTTGCTCAGATTTTGTTGTGTTATGGTACTCGAACTCGGAAATAAACATTTGTCCAACTCCAACACAGGCATGTTAATCACCCCACTCCCAAGATTTGCATGTAGTTGGAGGATCATATCTCCATGTCCATGTCCGGAGATGCACCGGACAAGGGTATTTAACACACCTCAAAAAGAATGATAAGATGAACTATTGTAGTTTCGTTTTCAACGGATCTGATTCTATATGATATATCGCGTGTTTAGGTGCTTAATAGAGCATCAAGCTGGTTGGCATGAAGCCGAAAGTCGAACGGATGTTGTTACCTTAAATATCAATGGTTTTGATAAA